CCCAGATAACAAAATAGGAAAATAATCAGAGTACACCGTCCCCAATCTCCTCTGAGTAACATCTGAGTACTTAGCCTCCCACTCTCCGCTAACCAGAAACCGGTCTATACGAGATAGCGTAGGTTGGTCCCATTTAGATGATCAAGTAAAGTCTCCCCCAAACATAGGCATATCCACCAACATATTCTCCCTAATAAAATCTAAAAAATCCTCCATAGCCCCAGTTAGTCTCCCACCACTCGACCTTTCAGTAGGAAATCGAACCACGTTGAAATCACCCCCAATGTACGTTGGGAGATTCCACCAAGCCATCATACCAATCAACTCATCCCACAAGCCCCCTCTACTCTCATTTGAATTAGGACCATAAACTCCTATAAACATCCACTGAAATCCATCCCCAATATTCTTAAACAAGAGCGAAAGCGAGTATGACCCAACACTAGCATCCTCCATATCATAAACTCTAGTGTCCCACATGATAAACATACCTCCTGATGCCCAGATGACCCCAAAAACTGATATCCTACATGCTATCCCTCCCATAAGCTACTAACCACAGCCCTCGAGACAAACTCCAACTTACTTTCTTGCAAACAGACAAGTTCAGCCTTCCATCCCCTTAACAAATTTCGAATACCTAACATTTTTCCAGCCTCATTAAGCCCCATCACATTCCAATTAATAAGATTTGAAGTCATTTGAAAGCTCCGTCATCCCTCCCCACCAATACTTTCCTAGCCCCGCCACCCTTAGCACAGTAATTTACTGACCATTCGAGCCGCTTAAGCTCGCGGACGCTCTTCCTTCTAGCTTTGCCACCTGGTGTAACCTCCAACTCCTCAAATAATTGTATGAGTTTACTTTCATATCCATCGCAGGACACTCCAACCAACTTACTGAACTCCTGCATTTTTTGAAGGACCCAATTTGAAGGTTAGGGTCCAGCTTCAATCGCATGCACATTCGTTGTTTCCTCTACACGACGACACTCCAAAGGTTTATAAGAAAATCCCTCCGTTTCCTCCGCATGGACAACCTCTTCGTCGATCCCCCCTCTTGGCCGCCATTAACCCACAACACCAAAGCATTCTCAGTCCCTAATTCTTTTGGGGATTTAACGTGCCTTCTGTTATGTGTTCCCAACCACAACTGCCGCCCGTACCTCCTCATGTTTTTTCAAGACCGTCACATTTCGATTTGTTGCAGACCCCGAAGCTTTCTCATCCGTATCCAACTTCAGTACCTCGATCCCGTCGTCATTTCCAGATTATACTGCTTCATATACCCCCTGCTTGTCTTTAATATGAGCTACATTCGGTGATATCTCCTTAGGAACCAAGCTCGCTATTTAAGTGTCATTAGCTAGGGGTTCATCCACACCAACCCCACACTTAGGACAGTAGAATATCCTGGGACTCCCCACAGACCCACATCCCACTAGCCTGATTAAGTCATCTAACTCGTCTTTCAATGCCTGGACTCGAGCCCCTATTTCAACACTGTTCAATATGCCACCATGTGAACCTTCTGCATGTCTCCTTGTAGACTTAAGCATCGAAAGATGATCGTCATATTCCCTCACCTAATACATCCTGTCATCACACACTAGCCCCCATTGATCAATTTTACGCGATGTTTGTGAGTTTGCCGTCACTTCGGCATAAGTCATCCTTTGTCTATTTCTTTCATCCATCTTTCGACGTCTAGCCTTATCTCTTGCAACAAAAGAATCGACAACAGCCCTAAACACCCTAGTAAACGTTGCCCATCCATCTCCATCCACACCTTCCGGAACCATCACAACTCCCGTCCGACGCCTCTCTCCATACTGTGTAATTGTCAAGTACCTGCCACGGCTATTCGCACAATGTTGTGCCAAAAAAGCTCGTGGTGACTCGATAAACTTGGATACAAACTCCTCCGACTTACTCGCTGCTCTCAACTTATCCACCATATTTACCATCCATAGTGCACTATACCTCCCCATATAAATAGCGGTTGACATCCTCGAGCCCCTCTCTATGATCCAAACAGTACCTGATTCGTTAACATACACCTCAAACTCCTTCGTCTCAACTCTAAAGCGTTGATTAAACACCATACCATATGCATCCACCTGTTTGTGCCTTTGATTATCGCGAAACGACAAATCTGACAACAAAATAGGCCTGCTGATGACGCTGGGGATGTTCTGCCGGAGTTCCTGCTTTCTCGACGACGGCGCGTGGTGGCAGGTCCCGCGCCAGAGAAGCACGTGGTCCCTCCGGCGTCGGAAATGTTTGCACAGGGCGCCGGTCAGGCGCGTCTGGCAGATTGATGGCCGGAAAGGGGTTGATTTGGGTTTTGGTCTGAGAGCCCATCTCATATTGTCATTCAGTAGGGTTTTGGGAAATATGTGGCGTGAGGCCGATAGAATGTTGTCCTCCCGTCGTCTCGCCGTCACCGGCGTCGACCGGAGGGGAGGGTTGCTGGGTATTGGGTGCCTGAGTAAGTGGTGGTGGGGTGTTTTTAGATTTTGGGAGGAAAGGCTCCATACGGGAGAAAACGAGGGTTTGGTCAGATATTGCTAAACCATCTCTGATATTCTAAAAAGCATCATCATATTCGATAAAATATTTTCCACGAGGCAATGACTATAACGGTGTTCTCTAAAGCTTCATAATTCCATTTCATGACCCATTTCCAGGATTAATCTAAGATCAGATTAGACGTGTAATTCTAGATTTTGAATAGATGTAGGGAACACTACATATGCAACAGAATAGACATTCAAATTTGATGCAAATAGAAACCATCTTAATTTAGGTCATCTTGTAAATTGATTGATATCATGTTTTTCCTTTTATGTGTTAGCAACTGTAACATGAAATTACACATTAAAGGGCTTCACATGTCAGCTTAGTAGGTTTACCAATAATTTATCATTCATTATGTACCCACTAATTACTTATCAGTAGAATCATAATTCTGCGAAGGCAAAATCTTAAAAATCAAATAGATGCCAGTACCTTAAATCTGGAAAGCGCAAATACCAATAATTTCTTCTCCCAATTATTTAAAAAAAAAAGGGAAAATCAAAATTTCAAGAAATAGGATGAGATAGAGAAATCAGAAATGGTCTTTTTTAAATCAAGCTAGACGGGGTACAAGGATGATGCTCAGAATGAGTTTCCATTCTATGATTGTGGATAGACAACAGGAAAGGTCTCAATTTAGGCATGTCACAAATTTGTTACAAAATCAAAATAAATAACTTCCATGTCCTTCAAATTTTAGATTTACGCAATGTCTCAAAGTAAAACTATTTCTGTCATCAATCAAAGATCAAGCTGAGAAAATTATGTGCAATTTAACAAACTACTCATTAGCCAACATGGAAACTGATTTCTAAAGTTAATACATTATTAATCCAGAAGAGCTATAATTCTATGAAAATTACATTGCTCAGATTGATGACTAAAAGAAACTAATATAATAATATGGGTATTATGCAATAAAAATTCTCAAACCTGGAAATTCAAGCTGTTGAGGCATCGTCCAATTTGTCTAAACAGAGGAACCATGCAGCGTTGGAATTCTGCAGACTGCGTAACCTCCAATATTTCTTCTAGTTCTCCTAGGAAGAGAACCTCCTTGCCACAATTTGTAACTGGCCAGTACTTTAACATACCCCGAATGACAGAATCAGCCAACCTGTAATCTTTCTCAACAAATTGGGTTGTACAATAGGACAACTGATGATGATATGATGTAACACATTTAGCCTTGTGAAGTGGGATAAGTGTTCGTACAAGGAACAACTTGTGCTCTTCTTTCATTGGCAATGCAAACCCATTTATAATACTTCCGAGAATCTCTAATAGCTCACCGATTCCACAGTACCTCTCTGTCTCGAATAAAAATCGATAAAAAATGTTGTTTATTGCATTCCTTATGAAGGGTCGATGAACCATAAATCTCCCATATATTCGATGAAGAATAGTCTTCAAGTACTCACGCTCTCTCATATCTTCTGAATCAAACAAATCGATCAATTTCAACACAAATGAGTGATCAAGATATTTCTTCGCAACCTTAGTGTCTGTATCAGATGAAACCACATATCTCAAAAGTAACTCATATACAAGTTGTAAGTGAGGCCACAAAGGATCCATGAACAACTCCTCCTCCTCTGGATCTATGCCCTCCAAACCCGTGTCATGCGTTGAAGGTGGCAAACATCGGAATATATTGACAGATATCATCTTAACCAACTCTTCCTGCATTATCTCATTCATCTTACATGACCCCGACTGCACCAAATCAACAAGCTCGGCAAGGCTTTGCCTCTTGATCTCCTTCTCACGCGCAGACTTCATCGTATCTGAAAAATCAAACATAATGCAACAGTTCTGAAGTTTCCGGATGAACACTACATGTCGATCTGACAATGGAACATCCTTCAACATGGGCAAGACCTCAACTACTCCAGGGTTTTGTGGGACAGGCACATGGGCGGGGCACTGTGGTGGAGCAACCGGCAATCTGGACGCATGATTCACAGTTACATCCGGAGCTGCTGTACTCGGTATTGGAGGCTCAATTGCTTCTGATTTCGGGGGCTTTCGTTGCCCTCTTTTCATTATTTTGTTAAACATCACTTTTCCAAAATTTAAAAAAATAAACAAGCACTTAGTCTAACACCAACACTAGTCATACTAATTCCTAGTTATCTCCTATCCTTATTCTTATTTCCATCAAACCACATGATTAATAAATTTGCACCCTGGAAATGGGAGAAAATAAATAAATGTACAAAACTATGAACAGTTATACATGTGAAAACATATATCATACATATAAATTGTGTGAGCATAAAATTTAAATACCTTAAATTAGGTGTTGAATTGATCAAAACAATTCGAAATCTGCAAGAATTAAGCCATGAATTTGAGAAAAAGTGAAATCCGCCTATACACCATGAAAACAATGTTCTAGAGAAAGGAAATTGTGGCTTTCCTATTTAAGGAAACTGGGAGATCCGAAATGGGAGGGAAGGAAGAGAATACCGAAGCGGCTTTTTTCTCTCTACTTTTTTTCTTCCTTTTTTTTTTCTTTCCTTTTTCTGTGGCCCTTTAGCTTTCGAATAGAAGAAACGGAAGATTACATATTAAAAGTATTAGTCTATTTCAAAAATAAGAACAAATAAGAAAACAAGTTTGAAATTTTCAAAATCAGATTTTTATTAAAAAATTTTAAATTTTTATTTATGAAATAATAAATTATTAAATTAATTTATTATTAAATATTTAATTCTAATATAATATAATTAACTCATCCCACATTCACCACCCCTATCGTGCCGGCAACCGTTTCGATCACCGTCTTACTCCGACGAACTTTCCGGCGACTTCCCGACAACTGTTCCGGTGAACTTTTCCGATGACTTTTCGATTCCGACAATTATTTATATTATTAATTAAATATAATAGTGTTACAATTATATAATTAATGTTCACATATACATAATTAATTGGTCACANGTGACCACCCTCGTGACCACCACCGACTTCAGTGACCACCCCCGTGACCACCACTGACCCCCGTGACCACCCCCGTGACCACCACCGACAGCTATGACCACCATTCATCACTGCCACCAGTCACGTCGTTGTTGCCACCACCACTGAAATACATCAACTCCACGGCGCCACCACCAACAAAACTGTCACTACCTAAACACCAGACAACCAGCAGTACACCGTCATTTCCACCACCACTGAACCACCACCATTTGCAAAACAAAACTAGAAAAAAAAAATAAAAAACAGGAAAAGCACAATCTTCCTCCACCACCATCGGCTCATACTTTCTGGTATACTCATCTAAGGTTTACTCCACTGACAGATCTGAAGGAGCCACGGAATAGGAGAGGGACTGCGTGTGCACGGCTACGAGCGATTGTCTGTAGGCGCATGCGTGGTTATTTTCTGCGAGTTTACAGCAGCCTCGATGGACGGCACAATCTTCCTCCACCTGGAAACGCTGCTGCGAGTTTGCAGCAGCCTCGACGGCACCGTTCGACGCCTCTAGACGGTGCGACGGTGCTACGTCAGGGAGTTCCGGTGCCGGATGAGGGGTAGGTGCGGCGCCGATAAGGAAGGTAGAGAGACCGAGAAGAGAAATAGGGAGATGGAGAGGAAGATAAATTAATTAGGGATTGAAATTTTGAAATGATTATTATACAATTAATATTTAATAATTAAATATTTGATTTTTGAATAAACAAACCTTGTATTTGATTTTTGAAGTTGGATTTTAAAAGATTGGGTTTGGCGTAAGTACCACCAGAAGAAAACTCGTGACCCGACCCGATTGATATTTGGGCATTTTAGTCAATTTCAGAACTGATCCTCAGACTATTTCCTAAGTAGTAATTTAGTCCTCATTCTTTAGAAGGAGCAAGACAATTTTCAAATTTAAATTATAGAAGTACAANCAAGACAATTTTCAAATTTAAATTATAGAAGTACAATCATTCGTGTAAAATTAGTAACTTTTTCGGAAAAATAATAGTTCTCACAAAAATAAATGGATAGTAGCTATGAATACATATTTAAAATTAATGTTTGATTGGATAAAAAGTTATTAGCTTCTTTTAATATTGCACAAATACTGCATAATTTTAGTGGAAACATCTTTCGCTTTAAAATTATTGACATGACTCAAGTTGAAAAGCAAAATTTAGATTCATGAAGTTAGACATATGAGAGTCGGGTGATGGGTTAATATATTTGAAAATTTTCCAATTTAGGACTAACAATGCAACTGATAATAAATTTGAGGTCCAATGGATAAAGTTTCTCATTTGAGTAATAACTTTTTTTGGTTAATTTTATTCCTGACTTTAAAATGAATGAATCGGAATAATGATCCAGTTTAATGGGAATTTGAATCTCAATAAAAAGCAAATTTAATAAAATCGGAATTGGTGATTTGATTCCAATTCAAAATTAGAAGTTTGATGATAAATGCATATGGTCGGATTAATTTTAATAGAAGAAAATTGAGAGCTTAGATGGCAATTATGAAAGAAATAAATTTGTAACATAGGTAGCAGTTGTCAAAATCACTCTGTACCACCAATTTAGGTGTTACTCAATGAACTTATTGATGACGAGTTGTGCTACACGTACAGGAGAAGCAATATCAAAATTTTGTACAGATACATTTGACGATTTTTTATTGAACAAGAACCTGTAAGGAAAAACTCTATGCATATAGAACTTTCCATTGATGATACAAATGACGCATGAAGGCGAATAGCAAAGGGTGTTCCTTGGTCCCGGTGACTCTCGAACTGTCAAGATCTCCAA